CTGCGATGAAAAGCGCAACCGCCCACGGAAGAATGTGGTGGTAAAGCCCATCATATCTGAGGAGATGAACTCTCGGGCGCAAGGCGATTTGATCTGCTTTGACAGCCAAAAGGATAGAACTGACAGCGACGATGTTTCTTAAAATGTGAGGGTGAGAGAGAAGGAGTGGGAAATTATAATTAAATTCGAACGTGTTTTTAGTGTCCAAATACATAATGCAGTTCTGTCCGTAATGGCACAGTCAAACAAAGACTACACTCATTCGTTTAAATGTAATTGTACATCAACCGGGCCTGCCTATTGACTAGGGCCGGTCTCCGGCTGGTTTTGTTAAGTCTAGTTTCAGGCAGAACATGAACGGCGTTGATGTACTTGGGAGTTTTTACAGCGTTAACTAAACAATGCTTTATGCTACAGCCGAGTCTGCAACTCAACCTGGTCGTTACTCAGCATTGTCGTCATCACAGAGCTTCAAATCGATCAGCTACAGGCTGAACACGTACCTACCTATAGGGTATAGGAAGACGTCCAAAAACTGTTGGCCATATGTAGTATCTGTAGTGGGATCTACGTTCCATGCTGGTCAGGCATTTTGCAAAATGCCTAGTCATTTTGTAAAATGGCTAGCCATTTTGAAAAAAGCCTGGTTGCGTTCAGTCATTTTTCAAACAGCCGTCTTTTTTTACAAATGACTGATTTTCTAAAGTGCCTGCAACATATGAGGCTTGCGAAGCTGCGGCATTTTAAGACCTTGCAAAGTCTAACTTATGTCGGTCAGTGACCTGGTCTGGCCTGAAAATAGGGCTTTGTGTCATAAGATCCGACCTAATCTAACCTATCCTATCCTATCTATCGACCCAAGGTCGGGAGTGCCAACTTTTATCTCGCTATCGGCAGCGCGTTTAAAAAAAAATCGAGATAAAGACCATCCCCCCGGGACGGCACCCGTCCCTTCTCTTGGCCTAGTGTCCTTTCCCTTTTTGTAAGTCCTAGCATAATCACGAATATTATATCACAGTTTGTGAAGGTAATACATCTGTTCCGCTATACGCACTATCCACTATCCCGTTCTGTGCTCCCCTTCATGCTCCGTTTACTACGCGCTCGATTCATTCATGATTCTGTGTTACCGCGTCCCTCTCACTAGGTGGCACCACGGATGTCATAGGCGATCCCAGGAAGACTGCGGCCAGAATGCCCCAAACGGCAGAAAATGAGGTTTTTGCTAAATATCTCAGAAAGTATTTGGCTTACGACGATGCAATTTCACAGTGTCGTGGCAAATGTGCATACGCACAAATCGGGTTAATACTTATGCATTTGCACTTGATATAAGACCAGATATAACTTAACCCTCGCCCGTATTGGTGTTTTTCCAGCCGCGTACGCATAAGGGGGGTCCTTTGGACCCCCCTTGCCGTTTCGCCCCTGATCTAGCTAGAGCTTCGCGGAAAAACGAGCGTGTTGCCCGTGACGAGAGGAAGCCGATGATACCCAATTTTAAGGTCCTAGGTCATTGGTTGACCTTGCAGGTCAGGTCAATGACCCAAAAGTCGGGAAAATCGGGACCTGTTAGAACATCGTAAAGTGTAGCTGCTATGGGGTTTTTCGGGGTGCTGATCACGAATATCATGTTAGTTTTGATCACAGATGATGTCTTCATGCATTTAGGCCAGGTCGGGTCAGGTCAGGTCAGGTCAACCAGTAAGGGTATTCGTAGTAGGTGGCAACCGCCTCTAACAGCTTCGTAACATGTTACGAAGGCACCAAAACTACTTCGTAAATATTCATCTACTATTATAAATCTTAAAAAGTCCGCCGCCGCCGCCCACGCCGCCGTCGGGGTTACGCAGTCGGTGTTACTCCCAAAAACGCCTATTGCGGCGCCGTCGATTGACGCACGAGGGTGAAATTTTCAGGACTCGTGGGTCACGTAATTCAACAGGTCGTATTAAATTTTGGGCACGATGCGGCCAGGGGTGCACCCGTGGCGCGTGCTCATGTGCGCCATAGGGTTAGCATTAGAATCGCGACCGGCGCCGAGCAGAGGGCACGAGCTTTAGGCTCAGTTGTTCGCTTAAAAAACTGAGTGAAAAGCATCAGAGCCGGCAGGTCGTTGACCTTTGACAACGAAGGCCGACACAGGGCACCGCTCGCCAGGGGGATTCGCCAGTAAATACAATTAATTTGTTTTTGCAATATCTCAGCCGTTTCTGGGCCGATTTAGCTGAAACTTGGACTGTCGGTGGTAGTATATGGTAGGGTAGGGTAGGGTAGGGTAGGGTAGGGGTAGGGGTAGGGTAGGGAAGGGTAGGGTAGTGTAGGGGTAGGGTAGGGTAGGGTAGGGTAGGGTAGGGTAGGGTAGTGTAGGGGTAGGGTAGGGTGGGGTAGGGTAGGGTAGGGCAGTGTAGGGGTAGGGTTAGGGTAGGGTAAGGATATGGTAGGGTAGGGTAGGATAGTGTAAGGGTAGGGTAGGGTAGGGTAGGGTAGGGCAGGGTAGGGGTAGGGTAGGGTAGGGTAGTGTGGTAGGGTAGGGTAGGGTAGGGTAGTATAGGGGTAGGGGTAGGGTAGGGTAGAGTAGGGTATGGTAGGGAATGGTAGGGTAGTGTAGGGGTAGGGCAGGGTAGTGTAGGGGTAGGGTAGGGTAGTGTATGGGTAGGGTAGGGTAGGGTAGGGTAGGGTAGGGTAGGGTAGGGTAAGGTAGGGTAGGGTAAGGTAGGGTAGGGTAGGTAGGGGTAGGGTAGGGTAGTGTAGGGGTAGGGTAGGGTAGGGTAGGTTAGGGTAGTGTAGGGGTAGGGGTAGGGGTAGGGTAGGATAGGGTAAGGTAGGGTAGGGTAGGGTAGGGTAGGGGTAGGGTAGGGTAGGGTATGGTAGTGTAGGGGTAGGGTAGGGTAGGGTAGGGTAGGGTAGGGTAGGGTAGGGTAGGGTAGGGTAGGGTAGGGTAGGGTAGGGTTGAATAGAGTAACATCCTAACTTACAAAGGGCTCGAACAACTCGCATGCATCACCATCATACTTTACAGTTCAATTAAAAGCAGTTACCCAGTTCTTCACAAATAATACCAATAAAAATGCAAGTTTCTACACCCAACTAATGCACCCGTTAATCATACATATCAAAACATACAGTTATCGCGTAAACCTGTACCTCTAGTCTATATTATAAATCCTAAAAAGTCCGCCGTCGGGGTTACGCCCAAAAACGCTCATTGCAAAGCCGTCGATTGACGCAGGGGGGTGAAATTTTCACGGCTCGTGGGTCACGTCATTCAACAGGTCGTATTAAATTTTGGGCACGATGCGGCCAGGGGTGCGCCCGTGGCGCGTGCTCACGTGGTGTGCCATAGGGTTTACACTAGAATCGGCAACAGGCTATTGCTCGGGAACGGTAAGGGCTACGGGGGTGAAATTTTCGCTGTAAGTCGGACGCGTGCACTCAATTGTCGTATTAAATTTTCGAGGGTGTGGGTTCAGCGGTGTGCACGTGGTGCGGCCGCGACCGGTGCCGAGCAGAAGGCACGTGCTTTAGGCTCAGTTGTTCGCTTGCCAAACTGAGTGGAAATAATCAGAGCCGGCAGGTCATTGACCTTTGAAAACGAAGGCCGACACAAGGCACCGCTCGCCAAGGAGATTCGCCAGTAAATACAAATTAATTTGATTTTGCAATATCTCAGCCGTTTCTGGGCCGATTTAGCTGAAAGTTGGACTGTCGGTGGTAGTGTAGGGTAGTGTAGTGTAGGGTAGGGTAGGGTAGGGTAGGGTAGGGTAGTGTTGGGTAGGGTAGGGGTAGGGTAGGGTAGGGTAGGGTAGGGTAGTGTAAGGGTAGGGTAGGGTAGGGTAGGGGGTAGGGTAGGGTAGTGTAGTGTAGTGTAGGGTAGGGTAGTGTAGGGGTAGGGGTAGGGTAGGGTAGGTTAGGGTAGTGTAGGGTAGGGTAGGGTAGGGTAGGGTGAGGTTAGGGCAGGGTAGTGTAAGGGTAGGGTAGGGTAGGGACTAGGGTAGGGTAGGGTAGGGTAGGGACTAGGGTAGGGTAGGGTAGGGTAGGGACTAGGGTAGGGTAGGGTAGGGTAGGTAGTAGGGTAGGGTATGGTAGGGCAGGGTAGGGTAGGGTAGGGTAGGGTAGTAGGGTAGGGTATGGTAGGGCAGGGTAGGGTAGTGTAGGGTAGAGTTAGGTAGGGTAGAGTTAGGTAGGGTAGGGTAGGATAGGGTAGGGTAGGGTAGGGTAGTAGGGTAGGGTAGGGTAGGTAGGGGGTAGGGTAGGATAGGGTAGGGTAGGGGTAGGGTAGAGGTAGGGTAGGGGTAGGGTTGAGTTCAAAAAGGGCCCAACATACAAAACACTGGAACACCCCGCAACTTTCACCATCCCTTACAGTTCAATTAAAAACAGCTACCCAAATCCACCCAAATAATACAGCTAAAAATACAAGTCAGTCACCCAAACTAATGCACCCGTAACATAATATAAATCAAAACATACAGTTATCGCGTAAACCTGTACCTCTAGTATGGTTGCTAAATTCGAATTCAGCTCCAAAAACTGGTCTAGTAACATGTAAAACTCGAAAAAGTGAACCGAGGTCATCAAAGGTCAATGACCTGACCTGACCTTCAGGTGACCTTGACACCCACCCTTATGCATGGGGGCAACATCATATCACATGTTTGAACGCTTGAAACCACGAAAAGACTGCAAACGCGCGGCTAATGCGAGCCGACATACGCCGAATCGCGATTCCGGCCAAACATGGTCTCGAAAAGTAGGTCACAGGTCAAAGATCATTCGGGTCAGGGTCATGAAATTTTCAGGGTTGGTGTAAAATTGATGAACGCGAGGGTACTGAAAGTTTCGTCGCGATCGGCCGCTTTTTACGCGAGTTATTTGCGAAAAACCATGGGGGGGTCCATTCGACCCCCCCCCCCTATACGGGCGAGGGTTAAAAAGCAAAACCAACCACTGTTTTACTGGAGAGCCGTACACGCGCACGCGCACGCACATACACTGACCATGAGGAGGACAGTGGAGAGTTGCAGCAGGAACTGTGACGTCACGTCGTCGCTGGTGCACGGCGCCTCTGTGTCGAAGAAGTTGACGGGCCAGGCGTCGATGTGCACCGGCTCCCGCCGTTTCCTGAAGATGTCACAGTGCAGAAGAGCGCCGTCACCAAACAAGATCACAAATCAACCTCGTAGTACCCAGTTTACAATGCCAACAGTTTCGTTAACCGATGCTCGTTTGCTAAGTGTAAAATTCCAACACCAGGGGCACAGCGTGTGACTGTCGGCTAATACCGAGAGGTGCCGCTGACGCTCGACTAGGGTTCGAGCCGGGAGAGTCTGCCAGCCAGCAGCGCCCGCTACTCACAGCCGGGCCGCCAGCTCCTTCTTGTTGAAGTTGTGGAAGTTGCGACAGAGGCAGACGTTTTTGTCCATCTTGATGAGGTCCCGGACCATCTGGACGTACTCGTCGGCGGACAGCTGCCCGTCCTGGTCGGCGCCAGTGCGCAGTCGGTCCGGGTGGAACGCCGAGTCGGCGGCTGACTGGAGGTCCGACATGCGCAGCACGTCCAGCTCCCGGCTACTGCCGCGCACCGACACACACCGACAGCGTGAGTGGGGACACACACGGACACACACACCGACAGCGTGAGTGGGGACACACACGGACACACACCGACAGCGTGAGTGGGGACACACACGGACACACACCGACAGCGTGAGTGGGGACACACACGGACACACACACCGACAGCGTGGGTGGGGACACACACGGACACACACCGACAGCGTGAGTGGGGACATACACGGACACACACCGACAGCGTGAGTGGGGACAAACACGGACACACACACCGACAGCGTGAGTGGGGACACACACGGACACACACCGACAGCGTGAGTGGGGACACACACGGACACACACACCGACAGCGTGGGTGGGGACACACACGGACACACACCGACAGCGTGAGTGGGGACACACACGGACACACACCGACAGCGTGAGTGGGGACACACACGGACACACACCGACAGCGTGAGTGGGGACACACACGGACACACACCGACAGCGTGAGTGGGGACACACACGGACACACACCGACAGCGTGAGTGGGGACACACACGGACACACACCGACAGCGTGAGTGGGGACAAACACGGACACACACCGACAGCGTGAGTGGGGACACACACGGACACACACCGACAGCGTGAGTGGGGACACACACGGACACACACACCGACAGCGTGGGTGGGGACACACACGGACACACACCGACAGCGTGAGTGGGGACACACACGGACACACACCGACAGCGTGAGTGGGGACACACACGGACACACACCGACAGCGTGAGTGGGGACACACACGGACACACACCGACAGCGTGAGTGGGGACACACACGGACACACACCGACAGCGTGAGTGGGGACACACACGGACACACACCGACAGCGTGAGTGGGGACAAACACGGACACACACCGACAGCGTGAGTGGGGACACACACGGACACACACCGACAGCGTGAGTGGGGACACACATGGACACACACCGACAGCGTGAGTGGGGACAAACACGGACACACACCGACAGCGTGAGTGGGGACACGGCTGTATCGGGCAAACGGCCGGCCGGACCACTACACTGGCCGGTCCGCTGTAGCCCGTCCATAACTACTAGTAGGATTGTAGCAGGGGCGTCGCCGACGGGGGGGGGGGGGTCGCAGGGGTCGCGACCCCCCACTCATGAGAACCGGGAGGGGGGTCGACCCCCCACTTTTGACGATGCTGAGTATGCCTGTTTGAGCTATCTTGTCAGTGAAGTTGGCGTCAGTAACATCACCAAATACAACGTCAGATTCAAAATCGCTTCAAGAGCTCCCTAGTCCGTGGAACATCAGCATGACAATATATTAAAGTAGTCACTATTCTAGTCCCTTTTTATCCCTCAAAGGAGTGGGCGCGCCAAAACTGACCCAATCGTTCGTCTGAACTCTGATTGTCAAAATAATGGTTGCAGTCGATTCGTCGGATGACGTATCAGCAACTACGAGGTACCTACCTAGCCTCAGCCCTGGCTAGTGGCTACCGTCCGACCTGCCTGCATAGGGGGAAGGGGGTCAGATAGTGGACCCCTCTCGGGCTTTCCCAATAAGACGCGCAAAAGGAGCATATTGCAACGAAACTTCCAGTGACCTCGAGTTAACCCACGAGCCGCTGGGGGGGGGGGGGGCATAAAGTTGCCCCCCCCCTTTACGTTTTGTGAAATATCTCCGAAACCTGATGAGCTACGAACGTGAAACTTGACATAGCTTCAAGTGAATACCTAGGCAATGTTTGAGGAAAGTTTGGTGGTTGTAGCACCTAAGATGACGTCACAGTGACGTCATAAAGTTTTGTCGTTTTCCGATATGGACCGTTTCTGATGACGCTGAGCATGAAACTCAACTGTAAATGAACTAGACAGCACCTGCTGTCATCCTAAAACATCTAACTACACTTCCATCTAGTTTCTGACCAATAATCGACCCTTTATATTCGGTCCCATATATCTGATGTATCGTGAGGGATATGAGAGTCGCAAATCTATAATTTCACTTATGACGTCACTGTGACGCCATTTCAAATGGGATCGACACCACATTTGGACACAACCTCGGCTAGGTATTCAGGAAGACGTGTGCAAAGTTTCGCTTCTCTATCTCTTCGCGTTGCGACGATATCGTCGCAGAAGTAAGGGGGGGCAACTATATGCCCCCCAGCGGCCGGCGGGTGGCGCGGAGGCCCAGCGGCCGCCGGGTTAATCAATTTTACACCTACCCTAAAATTTATTGGACCTGATTCGAATATAGATAACCTTTTTTATAAATTTAGTCCGAATCTTTTGATGGGAAGGATTCACAAGGACAGAGCCACCGCTAAGCGAAGCTTGGTTCACTTTTTCGAGTTTTATTTGCTTCCACTTACACTTGTACATAGTTTTTGGAGCTGATTTCGAGTTAAGCGCCCGTTTGAACATAAGAAGTAGGTTTGATAAATGGTGGTTATGTAGCATGTTACGAAGCTATCGGTGGTGATTGTCACCTACTCTAGATGGCCGGCAGGAATCCTGTTGGTCGGCCTGACCTGACCCGACCCGATCTACCCCAAATGCATGGAGTCATCATCGTTGTTCAAAACTAACATCGAAACCGTACTCGAGACCCCGATATCAGCTATGGCTCACAAAGTTCTAGCAGGTCCCGATTTTCCCTACTTTTGGGCGTTCACGTAAGATGACCCGGCCAAGACCTTGAAATTGGGCATCATCGGCTTTCTCTCATCACGGGCAGCATTCTCGCTTTTCGGCGAAGCTCTACCTCGATCAGGGGCCGAAAGCATACCTTAGCGTTACGTTGGTAAAATCTTTACTTTAACAACGACCCGTAAAACACGAATAAGAGCTACAGCGACACAGAAAGCGTATTCGATAACTTTTTTAAAGCTCTTTCGCCAACTTCGCCTCAGATTTGACTTCGGGTCTATGGCTTGTGTACCACAGAGGCCAAACAGATAAGCGGACGGATTTTGCCGAAACATTTGTTCTGTGACAACCCATGATTCAAAGAATGTGTATGATATTCAAGTTATCACCATTCACCATCGTGTTTGTTTCGTCGAAACGCGTCGCATGGCTTACAATTTGAACTTAAAAACTTACCTATAAAATTTGACATCAGGTAAAGGTCATGTCGATCTGACCGGAAAAGAACCTGCTGCATATTGATCGATCTGTGTTGCTGAGCTGAACACACTCCAGGCAACCTGTCATCGCTCTACAGCGAATTCGTCAAAAGTTGTCGAAAATGTGTCAGATGACCAAATGACTGACCATTCGAGTCATCACTGGTCGTTAGCTGCACCTGTCCCTAAAGAGCCGAGGTGCCATGGCTACAAAAGTATCTAGCTTTTTTAGCATATTCGTTCAAAACAGAGGACATTCGTGCTTCATCCCATATCTTATCATGATGATTGGTGAGGTCACATATTTGACCTGACTTCACTTCTCAGATGTAGAATCCTAGAGTCATTGAATCCCAGAGTCAGAGTCATTGAACTGTTGGCACTTATAATCCCATTCATTACACCAAATTCAGACTTAAAGGAGATAATCTATAGGAATGACAAGATTGCAGTTTTTAGAGGCATTAAAACTGAACTTGACATGACATTGTGACCTGACTTCAGGTGACCTGTGCTTGATTTTTATTCCCGATGCCAAATTGATATACAATAAGATATACCGCCGCTGCGCGCCGAGGTTTTTCTCAACACACGACGAAAACCGGGAGTGTGGCTAAAAACACCCCTACCCATCAAGTCGAAGACCGGGAGCCCGACCCCTCCCCCCCCACTCAAAAATCCGTGGCGACGCCCCTCGATTGTAGGCTCTAACCACTACACTGGCCGGTCCGCTGTAGCCCGTCCACAACTACATAGTAGGACGGTGTCCTTGTGGGCCCTTAGAACCACTGGTGTAGGGCTCTCAGAGGTGCCGGTTGTGAACCCTCAGAGGCACTGCTGAGGGCCCTCACGGTCTCCGTTATGGGATCCTCAGAAGCCGGCGTAGACCCTGACGGAGATCTTAGTGTGGCTACTTATGGCCCTTTCACACGTAGCAACTTTTCAGTCGCCGGCGACAGCAGCAGTCGCCGGCGACCGCCAGCGACCGCCAGCCAACGATCGTGTGTGACGTAGGTATGACGTAAGCAAGTCGGTGGCGATCGCCGGGCCACGGCCGGGCAATCGCCAGCAACTGGTGACGTCAGATCCGCGTCACAGGCCAGTCGCCGGCGACTCTTCTCGAGCAGCGGACGCCGCCATGACAGTTTTGTCCTTGGTGAGTGGTTTAGGTGATTTGTGATGCATTTTTTTCCTAAATTGGTTGGTGTGGCTACCTTAAATTTGTTGCACAGTAGCATAGGGATTATTATCTTGTAGTTTGCTTGTCGTGAAGCTGTTGTGACTTGAATTTAAGCTTGATTCGACAATATTGGAGGGTTTATGTCATTTGTGGCGCACTTGCCCATGATCACCCATGATTTTTATTTGTGATAGGTAAATATGTATTTTTTCATCAAAATTGAATATTTCAATGACATTGAAATTGACACTAGTTTCATGAGGTAATGAAAACTTGCTTGTTGTGTCACAAGAACATTGTTTACATTCAGTATCAGTGCCCTTGAGGACAAAGTGCCTACCCATCAGTCAGCTATTTGCCTACCTATTCGTGCGACACAAGGAAATATTTGATAGCAACAAAATATTATATTGCTGCTCATTAATTAGCATGATCAAAATCAAACAGGTAGCTTTGCAATTTTGTTATTGTTTCTGCTGGAGTTTTCCTTGGTATCATGGATAAACAACCCAGGCCAAACTTAATCCGCATTGGGTTCGCATGTGTGTGCATGCTCACATGGCAAATGATAATCCATGGCTTATTAGTACATAAATAATTGCAGTATGCACGGTAGGTGGTAGGTATGTCATGTATTTTGGCAAGGTATTAGGTGGTATGTATTTTGGCCCTGGAGCTGTTTCCTATTCATTGCAGCAATGCTGCCGGCATGGCTTATGTGTACCATGCGCACACAAGCTCCACCAATGTAAAAATGTCATTTTCACACAAAACTCATAATTGGAGGAAGGTAGAGCAGACCAAGAATAAGCGGGCATTTGCTGCAGTGTGGAAAAAGTCACTAGAGGCTTGATACTTTTTTTACATACAGCAGCCTGGAGATGTCCACAGAGGCATGCCTGAGGATGTCCACAGAGGTGGATCCAGGCAATAGTTTTTACAATCTTCTCCCCTTGTGCCCGCTGTGTGTTGTGCCGACTGCTTGTCCCCCTTCTGGTGGTGCCTAGACTTGCCTCTGCATATCTCCCCAGGCTGCTGCATAATGTCTAAAAAAACCTCAAGCCTCTAGTGACACTTATCACTCCAGTCTCTACAGCATATGCCCACTCATGCTACAGCTGCCTTAACAATACCAAAATTAGTAACAATGGTCTCATAACCATATTCAGTAGGAAATGAATTACCTAGAAAATTATATTAAAAAATACACTTGCTTTCAAAAAGAATGAGCACTGCCTTAAAATGCTAGGTGTGAAATAATGCTAGGTTTCTGAACCACAAATTCCAATTCTGTGTCACTGAATACTGATTGCCAATTGTGCAAGACAAAAAGCGTCAACAATGCTACATCAAGGATAATGATTTTAAGATAGTTCTCATTTTAGCCTGAAGTGTAAAAACCAAACCTAACCTGATTTGGGTATTTGGGTAAACCAAGCCTAACCTGATTTGGGTATTTGGGTAGTTTTTATGATGCTAAGCAATAGCCTATTCCAGGCTTCCTAATTTGCAGAGCTTTTGGTTAAAAAATGATTTTTAAAAATGTTTTTGAAGTATGGTTCTGACATGTCCGCCCTCTGTGCCTGGCAGACAAGTCACAGCGTTACCTGATGAGTCAAGAGGTTCTGTACCTGATGTACCTGATCAAGAGTACCTGATGATTCTGCAACACCACCTGATGGCCAACTCGACGGCATTGCTGACCCGAAAAGGAGTCTAGCAGCTGAATGTTCAACTTCTGCCACTGCACTGTTGACTCTGCCTAGAGACAGCATCTGCACCACGGCCCACAGACGATCTTCCGTGGGATGGTGTGCTGCGCACCAGTCACCACACTGACGGCGTTCACCTGTGTGCTGCACAACTTTCTGTGAGGTCAGGAGATCGACACTGACGGCCCCGGACGGTGTGCTCTGATTGCGCCGAGTGTGCTCCCTCGTGTCCGGGCCTTGATGCCAATATTGGCATTTACCGCACGCGAGGCGGCGCGCGTCCGCCAAGCCCTCACATACTGCGTCCAAGGTGCAGGTGGTGTTCGGTGACAGTGTGCAGCTTCTGCCGGCCCCGTGGACGGCACCGCGTGTGACCATGGCATGTGCATTCGATTTTCTGACATAAGTGCAGTGAATTCATTTGTCATTTTGCTTCTGAATGCTGTCGCCGCTCGGTAGGGTCGATTCTGCCAGAGTAAAGAGGTCGCCACGATCGGCGCCGGTGGGGCAATGAGCAAGGCACTCAGCAATCAGCTGCCGGGAGGTGGCGGCGGCGGCGGCGGCTGACGACTCGGGCCTCGAAAATCCTGTCGTGTGCGTTGCTGGCTATTATGCGTTGTTGGTGTGCGCTGTTTTGCAAGGCCTTTGGAGCGGCATGTCGAGTTTTGAGTTTTGGACGAAGGAGCCTTGGTGTTTTGTTGGTCTATTTTCGATAAAAACGGTCATGAAAGAGTGAGCTGTGTCCAGGCTGATTTTAAGATTTCTGTCACAGTATTGTCACCTTTGACCTAGACTTGTGTCTTCTTGGGTATCGGCATATTGTGCCACCGTCCCTGCCCCGTGTCCGCGCGTGCTGCATTTTTATGTGGTCGCGCGTATGGTGTCATATACTGTCACCTCGCCATGTTTAGTGATATCCACTGTGTGGAAAAATGCATTTTGTTATAGGGGGGGGGGGTACACTTGTGTTCCCCAATCCAGCGCTTTAGATAATACAGCATCTGTTTTTGACATAATGAAAGCCTGTGTTTTATGTGGGCGGTAGGCTTCGCCGTTCCTCAGGTCCGTTTCTGGCATTTGAATTTCTGCTACATTTCTAGAATGCCTTTTTTCTGTTTTTTCACATACAAAGCACGGTCCAAATGTGTGACCACAAATCACTGTGATTGTCCCATGCTTACCACCAACCATTCCTTCAATGCTAATGTCGTTACAGCGAAGTATTCATTTATTGAGAACAGGGTTGTAGTTGAATAAACAAGACAGGTGAGCAAAATCTGCAGCACTCGTAGTCTTGGCTGATGCGTTAGGAAAAATGGAGGAACTGCAAGTACACATCACTTTTCAGTTTTATGCTTGAGTGCATTGAATTTCAATGTAGAAGAATCGCAGTTTGATTGTATTTTCATTGATATTATGTATTGTTTCAATAATAGATCTAATAAATATTATTCCAATATTACCTAGACGGTAGTTATCATCCTGCAAAACATGTCCAAATATTTAGTACCTTGAATAATGCAGTAAAATAAGCTGCGCCGCTGCATGTATCAGCAGCGCAATATCTGGTGCCAACTCAAGGTCAAGCGGGTCACGTGACAGTTGAGCGGCGGCTGGCTAGAACAGTCGCCGGCGACTTCAAAATGTTGGAAAAATTGAACTTTCTCGGCAACGCCGACAACTCTCCAATGATTGGCTGACACGACTGCTACGTCACACCGGCGACTGGTCAGCTGATATCGACAACTGCGGAGTTGCCGGCGACTGACCCCGGTCGCTGGCGATCGCCGGCGACTGACCCCGGTCGCTGGCGATCGCCGGCGACAGTTGCCGTCGCCGGCGACCGGAAAAGTTGCTACGTGTGAAAGGGCCATTAGGGGTCCATGAGGTGCTCTTACGAGATCTGTGAGGCCTTCCTCAGTCGAAATATAGTCAGCCTAGACCCTCAGAGGCGAATTGGTGCCGAAGGGCCCTTTGTGGCCGGGTGGGCTCTCAGAAGCACCAGTGAGGGCCTCAGTCTCACAGTCGTCGTAATGGGGCCGTCAGAGAAATTGGTGTGAGGCCATTACAGGTTAGTGTAAGGCCCTAGATATGGCCCCTCTTGGGCCGGTAAGGACTCTCAGAGGCAGGCAAGGGGCCACCAGAGGCCGGTAAAGGGCCCTCAGCGCCTTCAGAAGCCGGAGTTTAACCGCACACATTTTTTGTATTGAAACACGAGCGTCAGCTGCGCCGCGCTTGAGCGCTGCCATATCGTGGCATAATTTTTCGGTATGTAGTTGTAAGCTCTCAATTCTAGTTGTTTTCTAGTTGATC